TATTCTGCAGTTTGGTATTAGGACAGAGACATGTCTGAACGCCGTCATTTCTGACAGATTTACGACGGAGAAACCAGCGAATCTCCATTGCTCGATCGATTTTGCGGTAACGCGTTTCCGCCAACCATCAGATCGAACTCCAACGTGATGCTGGTAATCTTCAAGACCAACGTCGTACCCAAAGGTTCCTTCGCCCTTTCCTACAAGGCTCTCTGCGGTGGCATATTTACCGAGGAAACAGGCATCATTCAGTCGCCCATGTATCCGCAGCAGAGAACGAATTTCGAAGACGAATGCGTCTACGAAATCAAACCGCCGGCCAACAAGAGGATCGTATTGCACTTATTAGACATAGATATCCGTGGACCGCCCTCGACTACTTGCTACCTAAATTACTTCCGCGTGTTTGACAGTCCCAAAGAAAACGCCACGCGTCTAGCTAATATTTGCGCCTCCGAGTTGGACCTATCCTCTGATAACGTTTTCTATTCTTCCACCCATAATTATATGATGATCAAGTACAGGAACACGAAAGGACGTGGTTTCCTGGCAAACTACACGACTATTGACACTAGTAAGTATAGCTGTGGCTTGGTACGGATCAAAGATAATTGGAAATTTCTATCGGACTGACAGTGATTTCATCAATCTATAACGCCTGATTTTATGTCAAAGAATGCGGAGGATTATACACGGAGAGTGGTAAAACTATTCAGGTACCCACAAAGAATTATCATTACGCCAACAATCTAGACTGCGTGTGGACGATACAAGCCCCAGCGGGATACATAGTGAAACTGACGTGGTTGGAATTTGACCTGGAACAGACCATGCGTTGTCGGCGCGATTATGTCAAGGTGTACGAAAATTACATGTCGACGAACAGGGAAGAGTTAGGGACGTATGTACGAATTATCCTATCGATGAAAGGTTTCGTTTAATTAGCGATGATAAAAATATCATTCGATTTTCCAGTTTCTGCGAGCAAACTAAACCACCAATGATACAGACACAAGGAAACGAGCTGACTGTGGTTTTCCATTCTGACTCGTCGGTATCTCGCGAGGGTTTCACAGCATCCTACGTCTTCATCAACTCCGCGAAATCCTGCGGCGGTCATTTCATAAAGAAGGTCGGCGTTCTCCAGTCGCCGAATTATCCTCACCATTACCCAAACAAAAGGATGTGCGAGTGGGTAATCGAAGCGCCGAACAGGCAAAGGGTGATTCTCACTGTACAGGATTTCAAGTTGGAGCAACACTCTATGTGTAACTTCGACTATCTGGAAATCAGGTAAACTGAGAGTTAGAGTTTGCTTGTATCAACGCGAAGTCGGCATGGAAACGATATAAATGATTTAATTATTAGAGACGGTGGCTACGTGACTTCTCCGTTAATCGGCAAATTCTGTGGAACCAACATTCCCTCGGAAATTATAAGTCAGACGAATCAAATACACCTGCTATTCGTGAGCGATCAAATAAAAACGTACAGTGGATTCAGCATAGCGTGGGACAGTACAACGATTGGTAATGTGCGAGCTTTTCAAAAGACATCGATTCGATCGATCACTGGCAGGATCTATTCACTATCGTTTCTTTCGACGTTCCAGGCTGCGGTGGTACTCTGAACGCTGCCAATGGCGAGATTATGTCCCCGAACTATCCTCAGCCGTATATGTCGCAAGCGGACTGTACGTGGAAAATCGTGGTGGCGGAGGGCAATCTGATACAATTACTAATAGTCGATTTACAAGTGGAACAGCACAGCAAGTGTAGATTCGACTACATCGAGATATCCGAAGGAATGAATCTTCGGGACAGCCAGAGATACTGCGGCAGGCCTTATCCGCAAGTCATTCAGACGAAATCTAACGTGATGAACATTCGGTTCTACAGCGACTATACGAATACCGGTCGCGGTTTCCATCTGAAGTATGAAACGCGTGAGTCGATTTTCTCCGCGACCGCATTAAAGTTCGCTCCTTAAATTAATTCGGTATTGACCCATCTGCATCGATATTTGCTCCCATATATATATATGTGTGTAGAGTTACACAGTTTCTACGACGCTGGAGACTACTTTGACTAAAAATGTTCACTGCTTAAGGACTGCAACTGACTCGATCTCAACTCCAACTGATCACTGACTGAATGCTACACTACTGCTCGAATTCTCACACTAAAACTCCAACTCTTCTCGCTCTGAATCAAACTCTCTAAAAGCTCTCTGTCTCTCTGTCCCTCGAACTCTTAAAACTGCCTCTATCTTCCAGAACGGGTCCTTTTAAACCTGTCCGGAAGGCAAGGGCCTCCCCCGAAGGAGGAGACAACTTCCTCCAAGCCAAGGTCAAGGGTGGAAGAGACTCCTCCTTTCGGGTTAGGCCCTTCGAAAGGTCACTCTTTCGGGGTGTTTACCCTACAAGGTTACTTCGACCATCGTTCACTAATACTCTAGCCTAAAAATATCCTACGTATGTGTGTTTGTTCGTATTAGCGAGCAGCGTCTTCTCTGATCAACATTCTATTAGACATCAGCCATACGATTTTCATTTGTTCGCGTTTAAATCCGCCTTGACTAGTTGTTCTAAGACTCGAAGAAATATGTTCCTTTTGCAGTGTGCCATAACAAAATACACGGCTTCTACGGCGTGATCGAGTCGCCCAATTTCCCGAACAAGTATAAGCACAATTTGAACTGCAGCTGGACGATCGATGCTCCTAAAGGCAACAAGATCAACCTGACCTTCTCTCATTTCGAACTCGAGAACAAGAGTAGACGGGGCTGCAATTACGACTATGTGGAGGTGTATGAGGGCATAGAGGATGTCCCTCAAGATCTGCTGAAGAAACTCTGCAGTGCCAATGAAATCCCACCCAAGATTCACTCAACGCAACCCCAAGTGTTCGTGAAATTTATCACGGACTCCATATTCGCGTATAGAGGCTTCAGGCTCGAATGGGTGGTTGACGGTTGCGGTGGTCACCTGACAAAGCCCGCCGACTCGTTCACGTCTCCCGGATATCCGTCTGCTTACCCCACGAATATCGAATGCGAGTGGTTGATCGAGGTCGATTACATGCACAGCATCGAGCTAACTGTTCACGACGTGAGTATCTTAAGACTCGCGACAGAGGAACAACGCGTATTTATTATTCACACGATCTGACATTTTCAGATAAACACGGAGAAACAGAGGGGCTGCTACTACGACAGACTGCAAATTTATAGCGGCGTGAACGACCAGTCGCCGTTGCTAGTCGAATTCTGCTACTCGGCTAAGCCTGTAGTATACACCAGCTTTGGGAACGCGATGTTCCTGAAATTCCATTCCGACTCGCTTTACTCTTGGCGTGGCTTCAACGTCAGTTACAAAAGTGTTCCGATCACTTGCGGTGGCAAATACACTGCCGACCGTGGAATCATATTCTCGACGAATTATCCGAAGAACTACCCGAACAAGCAGAACTGCAACTGGCTGATACAAGTGGATCAAAACTACGTTGTCAATATCACTTTCCTGGACTTCGACGTCGAGGATACCAAAAATTGCACCGACGATTACGTTCAGGTTCGCGAATATCTATTCGGAATTATACGACAGTGGACGCTAGCTAATAGAATTCGTTTCTTCTTCTCGCAGATATACGACGGACCAACGAAGGACTCGCCGTTGCTAGGAACCCACTGTAGAAACGATCTTCCACCCTCTTACGTGTCAACCAGCAACGAAATGTTAGTCGTGATGCGGTCAGACAGTATGTTATCGGCAAAAGGGTTCAAAGCGCAGTATCACAAAGCTTGCGGTGCTCGTATCATCGTGGAGAACGAAGGGTTCATCGTCCCATCTATGAGTTACACCGATAACGTGGACATGAACCTGAACTGTACATGGATATTGGTCGCTAAGAACCCGGGTATGTTCCCATCGTATCCAAATGGTCCATTTGGAGTTCATGGAGTTCAGTTTCGAGTTCATCCACGAATCTCGAATGTTAAATGGTTTTGTTGCAGCCGATCATGTCACCGTGACATTCACGCACATGGAGATATACAGGAGTTGGGACGACGAATGCCTCTTTGACTACATACGGATCCTCGAAGGTGAAGGTTTGGATGGGCCAACTCGCGGCACGTGGTGCGAGGATGTTATACCACTGCCAGTAACCAGCAATGGGAATGCACTCACTGTGCATTTGTACATGGCGATGGACTTTATCGAGCACGTTAGCTTCATGTACTCGGTCTTAAATTCGGGTAAATAACGCACCGTATTTCTCCGTTATACGACATTTTCGGTATCTCGTCGACCACCGTTCTCGATCCTTTCGATATCCGAAACGATTTATCGTCTGACACGTTGAACGTTCTGCGATACGTAACGTATCGTTAGAGCAGCATTTTTAGTAGTATTATCTTTACAGAACCTGTACAGACTGCATTGCACTTGTACTCGACTGTACGGAATATTCACTCTCCGATGTCAGACGCATCGATCAGTTTCTTTAACTCGGAAGCCTTTGATTCCCTTTATCTAACTCTTTCGAATAATAAATCTTATCGATTGCACTGCAGCATGCGGCGGAACATACACCTCGTACAGAGGAACAATCGCCTCGCCAAACTATCCCAATTCCTATCCCTTAAACTCCGAGTGCGTCTGGATTCTGAAGAACTCGCCCGGAAACAGGATCAGCCTGACTTTCTCCGAGTTCGATCTACAGCAAAGCGAAAACTGTGACCTGGATTACCTGGAGATTCGCGAGGACAGCGGGATCGGGAAGCTGATCAGCATTTCCTGCGGGACCAATGTAGATACGGTCCAATCGACCAAGTCATTATGGATCAAGTTTAAAAGCGATGGAGACGACGTGGGTAAAGGATTCGTCGGTGAATTTACCGTGACAGCAGGGGACGATCTCACTGGACCCATGGGCAGAATCACTACTCCGCTCTACCCAATGCCTTATAAACGCAGAGACAACATCCACTGGAGAATCACCGTTGACTTTGGATGGTTGATTCGAATCCAGATCACCGATTTATTTATCGAGACCCTCGATTATACGTGCTTCCCTTACCTCAGAGTAAGTATACCGTTTGACAAATTATCGTTTACGTCTATATTGACTCTTAACACGTTAAACGTCACGCCGGTTTTACGTGCCGTTCCGTTCACGTCACAGTTAACCGTCATACGGGCCCTTCCGGCGAGGCCTGAACAGAAAATCTAGCGCCGATCCCTAGGGACCGGCCTGGCGTTTAACGTGTTAAACATTACTCCCTCTTTCTAATAACAGCGATTTCTGGAATTTTTTAACCGTATGACTATATGTTTCGAACAGATATACGATGGTTACGACAACGAGGCACCTATTCTGCTAGAAGCCTGCGGATTTAATCTACCTGATCCAGTCACATCGGTTACTAACGTAGTCTATGTCGAACTGTCCACCGATAGCGTTCGTCACGATAGCTGGTTCGATCTTAATTGGATTCAGATACCAAGAGACACCGACAACATATTCAATACAAACGTCGTCGTTAAGCGTAAGTTTCGACATCGTTGATCTAAATAATCAAACGTAACGTTGCCTCTTGTCACAGTGCCGGAGTGCAACCAAGAAGTGGGTTTACTGGATATCCAAAACTCAAGCTACGAATTCAGCTCGCCTGGCTGGCCAGATGGCTATCAGGACAACCTTCACTGTAACTGGGTTTTCACCTCACCACCTGGCACTCACTTAGTGATGAGAATATTAACCATGGATTTGGAAGAGACTTCCGATTGCGTGGCAGATTTCGTCGCGGTTTATTCCGGCAACGCTCTCACAGCTTCAAACAACGCTCAGCTGATACGAAAGCTCTGCTTAGCGAACTCTACGTCGATCATGCTGGCGGCAGGCAATGTGATGACAGTGAAGTTCGAATCGGATTCCTTCTTGAACAAGACAGGCTTCAGTGCGTACGTCTATCGAGGTAAAGCTGATTGCAAGGACAATTAAAAACACGGCTTAAGGTATCGTAGCGACATCATTCTCACACTAGCCAATAGATGGATTCCTACTTGAAGGAGGTTCGAGGACTGTCTCGTAAATCCTCGGTAAAAACACTCCGTTTCCTACGTATCGAATTTTCGAACTTTCCGATAGTATCTCCGTCTGAGACTGGACCTGCTAGGTAGCCTTACCGATGAATTCACTAGCAGGCCCAAGACGAAGCGCATCCCTTCCTTTTCCTTCCACCATCGCCATCGTCGCCACATCCAGCATACTTGTCAACCAGACAGCTAACAGCAACCGTGAGGGAGCACCTTCCACAGTACAAAGCGTTTATCGAATTTGTCTATGAACGTGATTCAGATTGCGGTGGCAAGTTGGAGGACCCGAACGGAGAAATCGAGATTAGCAATGTTGTCCTCGGCAGAGGATCACGCGTTTGGAAGATTCGCTGCGAATGGGTAGTCGAAGTGAAACCTGGACGAACTATACAAGTGCAGATCACCAAGATGTCCATACAACAAGGTCCTAGTTTCACATGCACTGACAACTACCTGATGGTAAGCCAGAAATTGAGCTATCTTCCTGCAGTCATTTTTAACAAGTTTTTTAGACGTACGATTATTCCCGTAGTTGAAGAATGGTGGCGAAATGTCGTCACCATTGCTCGGTGTCGGCAAGTACTGTGGCAACGTGACACCGGAAGTTCTCGAGACCACTGGAAATCGCTTGTACGTGAAGGCGTACGGAGTTCGGTCCAACGTCAACTTCCAATTAGCTTACAGGTGATCATGGTTACTCGTTTGCTCTTCAACGTATGTGTACACGTGGGATACGAGTTTCTTAAAAATTTCCGTGACATGTTCAGGCAAGTGAGCACGAAGTGTGGCGGCGAATTTATACTGTCAAGTAGGAACAAGAAATGGGAAATAAGCACACCGAATTACCCGAATATCCCGCATCCCTATACCGAGTGCACGTGGACCGCGATGGCGCCCGGTAAAGAGAGGATCTCCATCAATTTCATCGAAAGATTCGACCTGAGTTACACCTTAAAGTGAATTTACATTCTATGAACTAACTTAAAATATCGAATCGTTCAAATTGCACGAACGATAAAAGAGAAAATGGGTTTCAGCTGCGAGAAAGAGTACGTTGAAGTAAGGGACGGCGGGACGGATAGTTCCAAGCTGCTTGGAAGGTTCTGTAAAGACGTACCACCCAACAGTATGACGAGTACAGGAAACATGCTGTTCGTCCACTTCTACACGGACATTCCGGAACCCAAAAATGGCTTCAAGGCTGTATTGACTATCGAAGGTTGGTTTCCACAAAAATTTCTCGATTGTACGAATATTCTTCGCGCGAAGATATTCGAATAAATCAAAGATGGAAACAAATTTGTATAGATGTCTGCGGTGGAATCATCAGAGGTGTTCACGGCATCATCTCTTCACCGAATTATCCGTTCTACTACCCGAAAAATCAGAGTTGCACCTGGCACGTCATCGCACCAACCGATCACACCCTGAAATTCTCCTTCATGGACATGCATTTGCCTGGCTACAGATATTGCAAGAATACCGACTACGTGGAGATCTTCGAGATGATCCCAGGGAATGACACGAGTAAGTAGAAACAAATCTATCCATCGAGTTCGACTCGAATCACCTTTGTTCGTAACTACCCTTTTCCTCAGATAAGCTTGGAACTTACTGCAATGTGCTGTTACCCGAGGACATCGAAACAGCGTCCAACGAAGCTGTGGTTACCTTCCACAGCGACAATATTGCGTATACCATGTACAGAGGATTTAGTTTGAATTTTTCTACAAGCCAAGAAGGTCAGTATTCATGCACACAGCGGAAAGAGAGATCGTTGGTCGCGGTGGGAATAAAATTTACGATTTCTGTAACAGTTTGCGGAGGTGAATTGACAGCGATGCAAGGTACGATAAAGTCGAATGGGTACCCCAATATTGCGACGCGTTCAAAGTGAGTAATTGATCATTTGTACCCAAATTTGTATTAAACCTTGTACACTTTCTTCTACATCGTCTGCTTCTTTATAGATACTGTGACTGGAGGATCAAGCTACCAAAGGGATATCAAGACGCCAATAGATGGATTCCTACTTGAAGGAGGTTCGAGGACTGTCTCGTAAATTTTCGAACTTTCCGATAGTATCTCCGTCTGAGACTGGACCTGCTAGGTAGCCTTACCGATGAATTCACTAGCAGGCCCAAGACGAAGCGCATCCCTTCCTTTTCCTTCCACCATCGCCATCGTCGCCACATCCAGCATACTTGTCAACCAGACAGCTAACAGCAACCGTGAGGGAGCACCTTCCACAGTACAAAGCGTTTATCGAATTTGTCTATGAACGTGATTCAGATTGCGGTGGCAAGTTGGAGGACCCGAACGGAGAAATCGAGATTAGCAATGTTGTCCTCGGCAGAGGATCACGCGTTTGGAAGATTCGCTGCGAATGGGTAGTCGAAGTGAAACCTGGACGAACTATACAAGTGCAGATCACCAAGATGTCCATACAACAAGGTCCTAGTTTCACATGCACTGACAACTACCTGATGGTAAGCCAGAAATTGAGCTATCTTCCTGCAGTCATTTTTAACAAGTTTTTTAGACGTACGATTATTCCCGTAGTTGAAGAATGGTGGCGAAATGTCGTCACCATTGCTCGGTGTCGGCAAGTACTGTGGCAACGTGACACCGGAAGTTCTCGAGACCACTGGAAATCGCTTGTACGTGAAGGCGTACGGAGTTCGGTCCAACGTCAACTTCCAATTAGCTTACAGGTGATCATGGTTACTCGTTTGCTCTTCAACGTATGTGTACACGTGGGATACGAGTTTCTTAAAAATTTCCGTGACATGTTCAGGCAAGTGAGCACGAAGTGTGGCGGCGAATTTATACTGTCAAGTAGGAACAAGAAATGGGAAATAAGCACACCGAATTACCCGAATATCCCGCATCCCTATACCGAGTGCACGTGGACCGCGATGGCGCCCGGTAAAGAGAGGATCTCCATCAATTTCATCGAAAGATTCGACCTGAGTTACACCTTAAAGTGAATTTACATTCTATGAACTAACTTAAAATATCGAATCGTTCAAATTGCACGAACGATAAAAGAGAAAATGGGTTTCAGCTGCGAGAAAGAGTACGTTGAAGTAAGGGACGGCGGGACGGATAGTTCCAAGCTGCTTGGAAGGTTCTGTAAAGACGTACCACCCAACAGTATGACGAGTACAGGAAACATGCTGTTCGTCCACTTCTACACGGACATTCCGGAACCCAAAAATGGCTTCAAGGCTGTATTGACTATCGAAGGTTGGTTTCCACAAAAATTTCTCGATTGTACGAATATTCTTCGCGCGAAGATATTCGAATAAATCAAAGATGGAAACAAATTTGTATAGATGTCTGCGGTGGAATCATCAGAGGTGTTCACGGCATCATCTCTTCACCGAATTATCCGTTCTACTACCCGAAAAATCAGAGTTGCACCTGGCACGTCATCGCACCAACCGATCACACCCTGAAATTCTCCTTCATGGACATGCATTTGCCTGGCTACAGATATTGCAAGAATACCGACTACGTGGAGATCTTCGAGATGATCCCAGGGAATGACACGAGTAAGTAGAAACAAATCTATCCATCGAGTTCGACTCGAATCACCTTTGTTCGTAACTACCCTTTTCCTCAGATAAGCTTGGAACTTACTGCAATGTGCTGTTACCCGAGGACATCGAAACAGCGTCCAACGAAGCTGTGGTTACCTTCCACAGCGACAATATTGCGTATACCATGTACAGAGGATTTAGTTTGAATTTTTCTACAAGCCAAGAAGGTCAGTATTCATGCACACAGCGGAAAGAGAGATCGTTGGTCGCGGTGGGAATAAAATTTACGATTTCTGTAACAGTTTGCGGAGGTGAATTGACAGCGATGCAAGGTACGATAAAGTCGAATGGGTACCCCAATATTGCGACGCGTTCAAAGTGAGTAATTGATCATTTGTACCCAAATTTGTATTAAACCTTGTACACTTTCTTCTACATCGTCTGCTTCTTTATAGATACTGTGACTGGAGGATCAAGCTACCAAAGGGATATCAAGTGGTTGTGGACATACAGGACCTGGACATAATGTCTATGGTCGAAACACGAATCGGTTACTCTATATCGGTGATTATCGACAACCTTGAAGCCTTAACTTCCAGCCGTACTATCGTTTCAACCCTTTTGTTGTCTTTTCAGTTCTATAACGATTTCCGCTTCAAGTCTAGGATCGAGGTGATGAGACAAAATTGGACGTCACAAGTAAGAAGCTGTGCTAACACCATGATGATCGGATACTATTCGTCAATAGGCTATCGTGGCTTTAAACTACGCTATTACGGCGTAGCACCAGCTCGTACGTTCACGACGTGAAAATTTTCTCGTCGAGGTGACTGTCTTCTCCCTAACGACTGCGTGATTCGAATTTTCAGCCTGCGGTGGAGTGGTGAACCAAGTCAGAGGTAACTTGACAGGGCCTAGGTACCGACCCTTCAACGAGTCATCCTATTTCTGCCAATGGGACCTGGAAGTACCGCAGAGTCTGATCAACAACGACAACAGCACTGGGGTGACGTTGTCGATAATGATAACCGGCGCAATTGGTGGGATTCGTGGCTACTTTCACGCGAAACATTGTTACAATTATCAGTACATCAGCCTAAGTGGTAAGACTAACACAGTTGAGCGTTCGATTAGCAGAAAGAGCATGCGAGTTAAATTTATTTTTGCGTTTTCAGGTTCCGGCATGCTTTGCGGCAACTTCTCGGAACCGATGTACCTGAGGAGTCCGAAGCGCCTTAACGAGTTGACGGTAAATGTTCGAGCAAAGGGAACGCATCGTTCGTTGATGTTAAATACATTTGCGAAATTTGTAGATAGTGAACGGCACTTTCGGCAAGCCGATGAATTTCAAACTCGAGTACCAGTGGCAACCATGTGGTGGCATTCTTCAAGGACTGACGCACGTGATAAGCACACCTAAGAATATATCCTATCCTATCAATTGTGTCTGGCATGCCAATTATCCAGACAATGGCGAGACGATCAAGTTCCACCTGAAAAGATTTCATTTGGGATCCTGTGACAGGAATTACATCAACATCAGGTTACTTGCGAGCGAATAGTATACCATAAACTTTGGTCTAAGCTTTGGTCTAAGTTGCATTTTCAAAACTAAACGACTCGCGAATTTTTCAACGTTCCCTTTTCTCAGGGACGGTGGACCATTATCGCCGCAGATCGTGAAATTCTGTGCAAACGTGCAAACATACAACATCACCAGCACGTCTAATCAGCTGTGGATCGAGTATACGGCAATGGAGGAGCCGAATGATTTCGAGTTCATTCTGGAATCAGGAAGTAACGGATGTGGCGGCGCTCTGCGCGGCACCAACCGAGAGATCTCGTCGCCCAAGTAATAGAAAGCATGATAACGCGAGATAGATCGGGTCAGGGGAACGATTAATCGAGCGAATCATTCGCTATTCGTGTTCGCAGGTTCCCCTCGCAGTACCCCAACAACGCGGAATGTACCTGGGAAATAACCGCGGAAAATGGCTACCACATTGGCCTGGTATTCGTTGATCGTTTCAATTTAGAGAGTTCTGTGAACTGCGAGAAGGATTACGTACAGGTGCGTGGAAAACTTGCATGCTAATCAAGTTCGAACGTAATAGGCTTCCATTGCAACTAGACGAAGAACTTGACTCTGCGTCAGGCTGAATATTAACCGGTAGAGTCTGTGTTTGATTTTGCCATTGTTGTTTCGCTGTGGCGAGAACGAAGTTAGTCAACAGACAATTGAGACACGGAAGCAAGGTCCAAGATTTCGGAGAAATTGTCTACGTTATATTTTCATCAACAGATATTCGAGTGGATCAAGGGAACCAATGAAACCTCCGCTCCAGTGTGGAAGCAGTTTGCGAGGATCTGCGGTAGAAACACGCCGCAGCCATTCAACGTGACGGGCAATCGCATGCTGGTGACCTTCCATTCGAACGAGGCGATCCAGGGTGATGGATTCCGAGCCATGTGGTACCAGAACTGCGGCGGTGTCTTCAATGTCACCACTCATCCTAACATCATCGTGTCACCAGGGTTTCCGAATTTCTATCAACCAAACCTGTTCTGTAACTATACCCTCCTGGCTCCGGGGAATAGCTTTATCATCCAGTTCACGGAATTCCAGGTGGAACAGAGTAAGGACGAATATGAGTTTTACGAACAAAGACTTGGAAATGTAACTGGTATGGCTTAACGCGTGTTCCTGATAATCCTAGGTCGCAAGGACTGTCGTTTCGACAATGTGACGGTCAAGTATACCGAAAAATATTCCGAAGAGGAGAAAATTTGGTGCGGTGAAGAGAAGCCTCCAATACTAATGTCAATAGATAGGGCAGAGATCATCTTCCAAACCGATCGATACATTCAACGAAACGGATTTGTATTGAAATACTACATCAGTGGTACTGATCATAGCAACATCTAGAAATTACGTAATTCGTTTTAATCGACTTTGGAATTTATTATTTGTCTTTCCCTCCTTGAAAGGCTGTGGCGGAGTGATAACAGAACCCTCGGAGATTAAGCCCTTAATGAACAACGACGCATACCTCGGCGGAATCACCTGCTCGTGGGAAATTCGGGCACCCAAAGACAAG